ATATATTAACACAGTGTATACAATTTGTATATATATATAAATACTGTATATTTAGTCTCTTCTGCAAACAAAAAATAATTGAGAGCTGGAAGATGCCGAACCCAGAAAACCAACAACAAAGGGGGTTTTAGGTATCAGCAACAAGCATGGAGGAATGGGATTTGTAATTGTCTGTTAAAGTAGACATGTGCGATTCTTTTTGTTCCGAATCAGAATTCGGACAAATTTTCCGAAATTTGGACACATCTTGGGCACATCCAAATTTCCAAATGCCAATTAGGGTTGAGCTTGATGTTCAGTGAACACACGAACTATCAGGGCGCTGAATGCCCCACAAGGCCTTGTGAATAGGGATAGGGAATAGGGATGATCCGCAGGTTCGATTCGAATCAAACATTGGCTGTTCGAGCGCTTGCCGAACGCCGAACTTTATGGGATGTTCGTGGTCTGTTCGACCGCGCAACGTCCCATACTACAAAGAGCCCTTTTTTTTTGCCAGCATCTTCAAAAATGTCATTATGAGGCGGGGAGCGGACAGGACAGCGGTCGGCGTTTTTTTTCTTTATTATTTCTTTTTTATTGTTTTATTTTTTATTCCGTCTTCGCCGTGGACAACGCTGGACGCCGTGATTGACCATGGATTACATCGGTGAGTCCATTTTTGGGGTTTTCTTAAATAAAAGGCTTGTCAAAAACATGTCTTTTTTTTCAATTAAAGGATTTTATCAAAATCTGGACTTTTTAAAAAACTATTTGATTTAACCCTTTAGTGAATGGGTAGGGGTACAAGTACCCCTTACTCATTCACAAGGGAGGGGGCGGCATCTGGGTGCCCCCTTAATCAAAGGGTTACCCCAATGCAAATAAGCCCCCTTTCCCGCAGACCCCACAACCACCGGGTCAGGGTTGTGGGGACGAAGCCCTTGTCCCCATCGGCATTTTATGGGGGACCCCACGTTTTTCCCCCTCATTTTTGGGGGTGGGTTTCCTCCTTAAAATTCCTACCAGACCTTAAGGGCCTGGTAGGACTTTTAGGGGGAAACCCGCACACTTTTTTTTTTTTTGTTGTACATGGGGTCCCTCCTTAATATTCCTACCAGATCTTAAGGGTCTGGTATGACTTTTAGGGGGAACCCTACACAGTTTTGAAAAAAAAAATGGTCCCTCCTAACATTTCTACCAGACCTAAAGGGTCTGGCATTGTTTGGGTAGGGGAACTGCACACTTTAAGAGAAAAAAATGTCTTCTTTTCTTTTTTTAGAAATGTCAGTTTTGCTGCAGCAGGTTCTATACATCGTACAGATCTGTCACTTCACAGGCAGGTTATGGGGACCTCCCAGGCATGATATTTGAAGGAATTTTTAATTTTTACTCTTACCCTGTAAGTCATGTAAAAATCACTGTTGCTTTAAAAACTTTTTTTTTTTTTTATTTCGTTGATTCGGGTCCCTCAGGGCAGTACCCGGATCCCCTTACACTTTTTATTGCCAATACATTGCATTTAAGGCTTGAAAATGGGGGCATTTGATTTTCAATGTTCTACCCCCATAGACTTGCATTGAGTTAGAATTCAAACTTTTCACAGGGGGTGGTCGGCCCATCACTACTTGCGAAGCCATAATTGGCTAAAGGCTTGCACCTGACCTCAGGTCAGGTGAAAGACTTCGCCCAATCAGGACACAGAGAACTGTGAGGGCCATGATTGGGCAAAATCATGATGACTCTGCCCAATCATGGCTCACCTGTTACAACTGTAAACATATGGGCGGGGCTAGCTGTCACTGCTAGCTCCACCCAATTGTTTATAAGTTGCCGGCATCTGTCAAAATGCCATTCTGCGACGGGTGTTTGTCGCAGTGG